TGGACTGTATGGGTGTCTACGCCACAGTCCCCCAGCTTCCTAATGAGAATGGGGTGAGAGACAGTGTCAAAAGCCTTCCTGAAGTCTAGGAAAACTATATCCACTGCCACCCCTGCATCCAATGATTTAGTGACCTGGTCGTAAAAGGCCACCAGGTTGGTCTGACAGGAATTCTTTCAATGAACTATACAATATTTGATAAATACAAAGACTAGCTCTATTTTAAGCAGCTTTGATATTAAGCGAATCGATATTTCTGTAGCATAATCTATATGCCTCTAGAATATATGTCCTGAAATTCTAATCTGCTACAAACAGCATCTTGATTCACAGCAAAAATAATTAAGAGAAAGAGATCATGCCCAGATGAAAATGAGCCTCAGATACTAAACCTACCACTTGCATACGGAAACTAAGTTACCCAAAATCCATGCAATCTCACTACTGACTTGCTGACGCATCTGCAGTTCCTGGGCGCTAGACAGATCCGCGCTGGACACGAGGGTCCGCATCACCGCCGAGAGAAACCTCCACTGACCGTTTCCCAGGAAAGGGGACTCATCGCGGGGCAGGAAGAGTTTGTTTCAATCGAACCAGAAGTTGCTGCGCTTAGTGAATTCCAGGTCACGGATCCTAATCAGTTCAGAACAGATCTAGCGTTGTCCAAGCGGCTCCAGCAACCGGCACCTGCTCCTCGCGCTCACGCACCAAAATGAGCAGAGGCGGGAGCCCGAACCAGGCACCGACCAGCAGGTTACCTGCATGCGGCCGCAGCCCCGCACTGGGCAGCCATGTCACCACGGGACTCGCAAACGTGATGGCAGCGTCCCTGCGAGGCCAGACAACCTCTGGGCCCGGGGTGACCATCTCTACATGGAAGAGCGGAGAGACAGGCCCGGGCTGCAGACATGATTGCCGTTGCGGCAAGGAGCCTGGACATGGGCGAAGGGAGGCAGAGTGGCTCCCTCGTGAACGGCTGTGAGGCGAAGTGTGCACCCCATGCCAAAGTGGAGACAAGCACCCACCGCACCTCACGCCAGCTCCTAAGCTGCGGCTGTGAAAGCACTGCACCATGGACGCGCTGCGGAGACAGTCGAGGAAGCAATGGAGCAGCTCCACTGTTGTCGCACGAGGTTTTCATAGATTTCATAGACATTAGAGCTGGAAGGGACCTTGGAAGATCATCGAGTCCAGCCCCCCCGGCCGAAGGGCAGGAAGTCAGCTGGGGTCATAGGATCCCAGCGAGATCAGCATCCCATTTACTCTCGAGGTGTTTGAAACGTCGCTGGGTCGACGCAATGCGACATGCGAACGCGGCCTGGTCTCGTGCCTGTCGCAGGGCCACGCTCGCCTCACCCGAGCGACACGCGCGCAGCCCGCGCCGGGAAACCACCCGTCGCG